CAAGGCTAGTCCATATTCCTAGGGACACAATTAGATAGCAACTTTACTGGGGAAATGTAAAAAGAGATTATAGATATATTTTAAAAATACTACTCAGGGCTGGAGAGATGGCTGGGACAAAGTATGAAATTCACCTATCTGAAGAAAGCATAGAAATGCTTTCCCATGGTTTCTAGTAACACTCACCATCAGAGAGCAGTGGGTTGGAAGATGAAGTTGGCTGGAGCTCTGTTGTAGAGTTTTCCATGTATGATTCCCTAGGTTCGATCTAGTGCTGCTGAAAATGGGGTGGGGTGGGTGGTGGGAAAGCCAAAGTTACTCAAGGTCCCCAAATCTCATGTGCCTACTCATCTTCACTTTCAGATCCTGGCAACTACTGTTGCCACTGACTAACGTGCCCTCCTTCCTTCCAGCTTTCCCTACTCATCCCTTAGGGTTAGCTTAGGTGCTGGCTCCTCCAGGAAGGCTTCTGTCATCCAAGTGTGGGTCCAGTGTCCCTTCTATTGGGTTCCCTGGCTCCCTCAACACTTAGCAGTGTCTGCTATTTATCCTCATCTTCATGCCTCTCCCGCTTCCTGGAGTCTAAGCTGCTTGCAGGCATAAGGCATTCATTCCTTTGAACCTATAGACCCCTAGCAAATGACGAATGACGTAAGCAAGGGGGTGGAATATTCCTAAACCACCACACAGGACTCAGACACAAGGGGCTACAAGCCCTCTTGCTCTGTCCCAAGATCTTCTGTGTCACCTCCCTGCACAAGCCAACTAGAGCTTGGCAGAGCTGGTCTGAGGTGTGCTACACTAGTCCCTTAGTGTGAATAGCCAGCTCTGCAATCTGCTCAGCTGTGGCCTCCCCTCAGTTCTCCCCAAATCAGCCAGTTCCTCTTCCCAGTTCCTCTCTGGGAGTAAATCGACCTGCTTCAAGCTAAAACCTTAGACGCGATAATAGGAGAAAAAAAAATAATAAGTAAGGGTCGAGAGTTGGACAATTGGTGGCAACGAGATGAACATGGATTAATGATGTGAACCTCGCCCTGGCCTCCTCAGCCTGGGCTGGGGAAGGTTCATGGTTGATACCCATTAAAGGGCTTAATGAAATAATTATAATTCACACCCCAGAGCATCAAAGAATCAATACTGGGGAACTCTGAGCCACTCTGGGGGTGGCACCCCACTGGCTTCACAGTTCAGCTCAGCAGGCAGAGCTAGTAGAGGGAAATGCAGTTGACAGGAAAGTTGCATTAAAAGAGGGCAATAATAGATTAAAAGCTGCCGGGATCCTGGTGACTGGATGTCAATATCCTTTATTCCCTGCCTTGCCCCAATTCTGCCCCCTCCATGCACTATTAGCCCAAATCGATGGGCTGTCAATTGACATCACCAGCTACAGCATTAATGCGAGCTCACAAAGGAAGCCCAGCCTTATATTATCACTTCTCTCACTTCCAAATTACCACCTAATGCAGGCCGCGGGCAGCTTGTGACATGTTAACACTATACACGATTTGTTGAGATTGGCCTAAACATTTCATGGCTATAGATTTCATCAGAGACTTGATGACAGAAATAAACTGCCATCCACGGGGAAATCACTAGAAATAATAGAATTAGGCATTGTTTGGGATTCCAGAGGGACAATGGAGGGATGATGAAGGAGGAAGAGAAAAGAGTTCTCCAGCTGGTGGCCTGCTGTGGGGGCAGTGCTGGTGAAAGGCCTTTCACTTGCTCTCACTAAAGAACAGGTATTTGGATTCGTCTTAGGTTCATTTTCTATTTTTACACAAGAACTGGGGAGATTCTTTCCCCCATGACAACCAGGAATGTGATGACTGTGGGTTAAACAACCATTGAATCCTAATCCAGAACCTGAGAGAGTGACTTTCCAAATTTGAAAGTTGGGTCCTCACTGAGTGGCCTGGAAAGGGAATGTTTAGGGTCATGCTTCTCAGAGGCTAAATGTACACATTGACAAGCACAATATGCCAGCCAGGTAACTGGAGAGTCTGGAGATTCCCCTCTCTGGCAAGTATGACTCTTGCCCAAATGTTGACTCAGACTTCCAGTCTCTATCTGGAGACAATAAATCTGTTTGTTTTAAGCTATCTATGTGTGTTTGGTGCATTTTATGGCACCCTTAGGAAATTGTGTTTACTCATACCTAATGATAGTCCCATTTACCGAGCCCTCTCCCAAGTCAGCTGCAGGGCTCAATGTTTTGCCAGGCTGGCTCACTTCATTCTCCTGATGATCCTAAGGTCGAGTACTCTAACCTTCACTTCTCAGGTAGTTTCAGAAAAGTAATTTGCTCAGCATTGCACACCTTTAGAGGGCACAGCAGGTCTCTGCACAGGACAGGAGAAATACTAAACCAACAGAAAAAAAGCTTCTATTGAACTTTCTAAGGCTCAATTGGTTTCTTACTTGTAGCTGGCCTTCTTTTCAAGTCTAGTATTTCCTACCCGAGAGTGGAAACTTTGGTTTGAATTGAGCCCTACTGCAAATATAGATCAAAACATGGCATACCACTACAGCCTCAGACTTGCATCCCTCTTACATCTTCCTCCTAAGTGCTGGATTACAGGCCTGAGGCACCTTCCCTAGCCTTAGACAATTGTAAATAGGAAAACACTTTCATTTCTAGTCACTCTAGTCCTTCTCCATCATTCCAATACTTTCAACAGTTCTCTCACATTTGTTACTCTCTCTGCTTTCCCCCTCTACAGCCACTTGGTGTTAAATATGTTAAAGTAGTTACAGAGGACTACTGTGTTACATGCTTTCATATCTGCAAAATGTTCAAAAATGGATGGCTAAGGGAAATTTGGGACTAAGAAACAATGACAATGATGTAGTTTTGCTAACTAAATTGCTTTGTCATTCTGTGAACATACACAAAATATTGAGAAAAAGCAGTAGAACAGATGGTATATGAACTTAAAAATTGTCTTGGACTAGAGAGATGGTTCAGAGGTTAAAAGCACTGGCTGGTCTTCCAGAGGTCCTGAGTTCAATTCCAAGCAACCACATGATGGCTCACGACCATCTCTAATGAGACCTGGTGCCCTCTTCTGGCCTGTAGGCATACATGCAGATAGAACACTGTATGCCTAATAAATCTTTTTTAAAAAAGCACAACAAAAACTGTCCTTTTCTTAGACATGTTATAGTCAAGGTTAGCCTTGAACTCACTATACAAGCACAGACAATGCTCAACTCAACTTCCGTGATCTTTGTTACCACCTCCCAAGTACTACACTAGTCAGTGTCATGAAAGTCTTACTTGGTGCCCAGCAGTAAATCCTGCTGAGCAAGCATTGCCACCTGAGCCTCAGTTCCCTAGCACATTGTCTTTCCAAAGGGCAGAGTTTAGGTTCAAAGGATAAGACAAGAATGCATTCTTAGCCACTGAGCCTTGTTTCTATACTTGTCTACCTTCATTCACATACTAGATTCTCTACCCTTTCCCTAGCAAGGAACTTGCTCACTATGCCTGGACATGATGTGGAGGTTTGGGGTTG